TTTTTTTTGTTTTTTTTTAAGAGCCAGAGTTTCACTTTATCGTACTCAGTAGAATGCTGTGGCATCATAGCTCATGGCAATGTCCAACTCCTGGGCTTAGGTGATTCTCTTGCCTCAGCTTCCCTAGTAGCTGGGATTACAGGTGTCTGCCACCACACCTGGCTATTTTTTTGTTACAATTTGGTCCAACTGGGTTCGAACCCTCTAGCCTCGATATATCGGGCCAGTGTCCTATCCATTGAGCCACAGGCGCTGCCCCTGGCTATTTTTTGGGTTGTAGTTGTCATTGTTTTTTGGTGGGCCGGGCTCGATTCAAACAGACTGACCAGTTATGGTGTATGTGGCTGGTGCCTTAGCCTCTTGAGCTAAGTGTGCCAAGCCAGTATTTCTATTTTTAGTAGAGACAAAAAATAGTAGGGGTCTCATTTTTGCTCGGGCTAGTCTCCTGAGCTCAAGCAACACCAGCCTCAGCCTCCCAGAGTGCTAGGATTATAGGCTTAAGCTACCATGCCCTCCCTGCTTTTTTTGTTTTTGTTTTTGGAGACAGTCTGTGTTGGTCTCTGTTGCCTGGGCTAGTGTGCTGTGGTGCCGGCCTAGCTCACAGAAACCTGAAACTTGTGGGTTAAAGCAATTCTCCTGTCTTAGCCTCTCTAGTAGCTGGGGACTACCGGCACCTGCCTAGACACCTGGCTAATTATTTTGTTTTTAGGGGGACAGTGTCTAGCTCAGACTGGTCTCATACTCCTGAGCTCAAGCAATCCTTCCTTTCAGCCTCCTGGAGTGCAAGGATTATAGGCATAACTCACCTCACCCAGCACATATGTTTCTTTTTGTGTGATGTTACAAACCAAGAACTTTTGGACTTACTAGAAAAACTTTTCAGGGGTGGCACCTGTGGCTCAGTGGATAGAGTGTCAGCCCCATATACCTAGGGTGGTGGGTTCAAACCCACCCCGGCCAAACTGCAACAAAAAAATAGCCAGGCTTTGTGGTGAGTGCCTGTAGTTCCAGCTGCTCGGGAGGCTGAGGCAAGAGAGTCACCTAAGCCCAGGAGTTGAAGGTTGCTGTGAGCTGTGTAATGCTGCCATGGCACCCTTACCCAGGGTGATAAAGTGAAACTCTGTCTCTAAAAAAAGAAAAGAAAAAAGAAAAACTTTTCAGACCATAGCTTAGTGGGTTAAATCTTTTTTTTTTGAGACAGAGCCTCAAGCTGTCCCCCTGGGTAGAGTGCCATGGCATTACAGCTCACAGCAACCTCCAACTCCTGGGGGCTTAGGTGATTCTCCTGCCTCAGCCTCCTAAGCAGAATGGGTTAAATCTTAACTCCTTATCTTGGTGTTGACCTGAGTGAACAAAGTACAGTATTGCTTTTCAGCAGTAATTTGACTCATGTTCTAATTATTTGTGCCTGGGCGTATTAAGCCTGAGGTCAGGAAACCATTTTGAAAGGGCACAGTATAAAGGTTTTGCGGTTGAGCAGATACCAGCATCTTGATTTTGCCTCTTACATTGTTGAATTGGTTTTAGGTTGTGTGCTAGGTTGGACAAACCTACCTGGAGAAAATTCAGAAGTGCTTCCTACATTATGAAGGCAGAAGGAGGCAAAGTGCAGCGAAAAGGCAACTTTTTGTTTGTGGCATTTTATTATTTGTGTTCTGATTGAGAGCCTCCAACTTACTCTCTGCTTCTGTATAATGAATACATAGAGCAAACTGCCATTGCACAAACAGTGGCTCAGAGTGATGATGACCTCAATTTATAAAGAAGTTGCTTTGCTGTTTTTAAATGAAAACAAAGGCTGAGATTCAGAGGCTTGTTTTGTTCCAAAAGTTTCAAATTTCAGACTGTGATCCTTGATTGCCCTCTTTTTTTTTTTTTTTTAAACTTATGATTAGTAAAGGATACAAATCAAGACCAGCCAAATGAAGAGATATAGGGAAGGTCTCAAACACTCAGCTATGTGCCCTTACCCGAGGAATTGGGGCGTGTCACCTTCCCAGTACACTGCTGTGTTGACCAACCAGGAAGCTACATCAAGCTTTAGTATCCAGAGTTTTTTTGGATTTCATTGTATATTGATTGTATCATCGCCCACAGGATTCAACTCAGTCTCCAGCTCCCTTCTCCATAGGTCAGACTGAAGCAAAGCTTTAGCCCTCTAATGCCAAGGTCAGTCTTCCTTTTGACCAGCCCCCACCCCATCCTGAGTCTTCTTAGCATAAACTCAGGTGTGATCCCAGGGGATCATGAATAACAAAGATGCTCTTTTTTTTTTTAAGACAAAGTTTCACTTTGTGGCCCTGGGTGGAGTGCTACAGCATCATAGCTCATAGCAACCTCAAACTCTTGGGTTCAAGTGATGCTTTTGCCTTAGTGTCTCAAGGAGCTGGGACTATAGGTGCCCGTCACAACTCCCTGCTAGTTTTAGTCAAGGTCTCAGTCTTGCTCAGGCTGGTGCACTTTTTGGCCTGGGCTGGGTTTGAACCCACCACCTCTGGTATATGGGGCCAGCGCCCTACTCTTTTGAGCCATAGGCACTGCCTCATGCACTTCTTAACTAATGTAAAATTTAATGTATTCAGGGCCATTGGACAATTCTTTGCTTGTTCTACAGTGGAGTCTCTTAAATAGGTGAAGGTTGCTGGTTATCTAGAAAAATAAAACTTATTTCTGATATTTGTATGATCTTTTCCAGTTGATAGCAAAATGTCTTCAGGAAATGCCAAAATTGGGCACCCTGCCCCCAACTTCAAAGCCACAGCTGTTATGCCAGATGGTCAGTTCAAAGATATCAGCCTATCTGATTATAGAGGTAAGAGTAATTACTTTGGACTCATTAAGGTGGAATTATTTTGTTTGTTTATTTGTTTATTTTGTTACCCTTGGTAGAGTGCTGTGGTGTTACTGCTCACAGCAACCTCAAACTCTTGGGCTTAAGCGATTCTCTTGCCTCAGCCTCCCAAGTAACTGGGACTGGGGGCGCCTGCCACAACACCTGGCTATTTTTTTAGAAAGGAGGTCTTGGTCTGGCTCAGGATGGTCTCGAACTCCTGAGGTCAGGCAATCTACCACCTTGACCTTCCAGAGTGCTAGAATTTCAGACGTGAGCCATCGTGCCGGGCCAGGTGGAATTATTTTGTAATGTAGGGATGGTTTGTTAGATTTGGGTTAATGTTATGTTTGACTAAAATGTTTTATGCCAACCAAGACAAAGTCTTTAGATCAGAGGGCTCTTACCTTAATGTTGAAGTGAAGTGCTGATTATCAACAGTGATCACAGGAATCACAGGATATCCTAGATCCAGACTATTTCTGGAGAAAGCACGTGCTTTATTATGGCTGGAAGTATTAACCTTTTCAGTATTCCTCAATTGTATTATTGGTGGAGTTCTCATTATTTCTTCTTCTAAGAGGTCTTTTACATTTAAAGTCTGCTCAAGTCATGGAGCTGTAATACTGCTTGCTGAGTTTTTACATTAGTCAGAAGGCTTAGGCACATTCCCTTGATTGTTTTCCCCCAGAGGAGAATTGATGTTAACAGTTGGAACAAGTCCCTTTTCTGTTGTCATAGTTTCATGGAGGCACTTGGTAAGTTCTTTTGAGACTCTTCCTTTTTTTCTTTTGGTTAGTCCCTGAGTAGCTTGGTCTCTTGGGACAATTGAAGATACAGATTTGCTTAGAATACAAACTTGAAACTCAGATGTTGTACTTTTCTTGTTCTTTTTTTTTTTTTTTTTTTTTTTTTTT